GTTTTGTTTTTGTTTTTTCATCCAGACGGCTTCCCGCGCCCCCCCTAGGGGGCGCGCCCCACAGTTTGGGAACCTCTGCCCTAGCCCAATTTGCATAATAAACTGTATTCATGTAACTATAATGGATGGTTGTTGGAGAGATGGTATTTTAAAAGTGAAAATAAATGTTTATATAATGCCCTAAATACTAGTAGAGTCTGTTGGTGGTAGGTTTGGCACATATGTAACTATTATTAGTCTGGACAAAGAGGTAGCAGAGCTGCCTCTAGCTGAGAGGGACGGTAACACGAGGACTGGGCAGCATGTGAATGATTCTGATTGGAATCCTAAGGAATTTCAAGTCAATAAATAAAGTGACAAAATTGATTAACTGGCTAGCATGACAGCATGCTACGTTTACTAAATGGAAAAAGATTTAATTTTGAATTTTCAACCATCTCGACCAGTTCCAGTTTCAAAATAATTTCTTACTCCATTTGTTATAAATATATATTGTTTGTTAGTATAATGTTGGATCTCCATATTCTGAGTGACTTTGGTCATTATTTCGTCACCTGTAAATGCATTCTATGCATTTTAAAGGTAAATTCTTTAAAATGTCACTTTTATATGCTGCATTGTATTTAAGAATCGTCAATTTGTCATATCGAAACTAATAAAATCCTAAAAAATGTAGGTCATATTTAATTTGCAGATTATCTGTTTATCGAAGCATAAAGAATGAATGTAGATTACTTCTGATGACAAACATGATAAAAGTCGATATAAAATGCGTTTTGGTACTTTTGTTCCATTGGTCAGCAGAAAACTTTGAGAAGTGTTGACTCCAAATGTCAAAAGTGGGAAAGACGTTTTTTTTCCACTTTTCACAACTCTGTTTATTGAAACTCGACTCTTTCTTCTTTCCTCTCGAGCACAGGTGGAACCACTGGCAGGCGAGGGACTGTAAAGTTGTGTGCCATGCTAAAAATCAATGGCTTCCCTCTCCCCGGGATACAAAGAAGGGGAGCCATCGCATCTCATCAACCTCCTCGTCCGTCATCCACTATTGGCTCAGCCAGACAATGAGCCAAGCTTCCTGTTCGTCTGTTGTCCACAAGATGTTGCATGTCCATGGAGAGGACGTTTCAGTTTCTCTCTCCTCTTTCAGTACTGATATTTCCAGTGTTCCCAGAAAGAAGGCGCTGTTGGACTCGAGGGGAGTGAGAGACTAAGAAACAAAATTGGAGAAAGTTCAGTCCAGTGTCCCAGTTCTTTCCATGACAGCTACTCAGTCGGGGCACTTTCTCTCACTTCCAGCAGAAACAAATGATGTCAGAGAGAGAAAAAAAAAGAAAAAGACACTGAGAACCCCCCTTTGTCCCCCCCAAGAGAGCAACAGCTTACACTGATAACTTTAAAACAATGTCATTGCTTTACATGAGGTTACAGATGCTTTGTCACGCTATGGGAAGTGTTGTGCAGAATGAATATACAAAATATATATACATATATATTATGATTCTGATTATTTATTGTGCATTTAGTTTGCTTTTCATAATTTGGTTGCACTACAATATTTAGCACATATGATTCTCAAGGCACCTGTAAGGTCTCATCCAGATTTACAAAGACTCTGTCTCCTGTCTTATGTAGAACATCATTCTTTGTTATTCTCTCCTGCATTTATTTTTATACCATATTTAAAGACACTTTTACTTACTTGTATTAATAAAGTTGATCCTCTATCTGTTACGGTGTTGGTCTTGTGCTTTCATCCATGGAGTTTGTGTGAATCTTCCGGGGATCAATGCGCCTCCTGTCCTCCGTAACGTGCAATGCAAGAAACAGACACCAGGAGCTTTGCTTATGCTGTGCACTTTTACAGTCAAACACAAGAGGGCGATAAGTTATTTCTCCATGACTTGGAAGAATCTGACCGTCTTCACAGATCAGTAAATATACAGATAAATGTGAATTTGTCATGCAAAAGTGCCATCATCCTCCGGCCTGCTGAAAAGGGTTATTGTTCATACGTTGGCCTTCTGATGTTTTGCAGGGTCTGTTGATGTTTCAGCTCTTTGATGCCAGAAGTGACCGTCTGTGTTTCCACTGTCTGTGCCCGGCAGTCAGTTTAGCAAGAACCACAAAACAGACAAACATCTTTGTCTCGACTGCATCAAGGAATGCGAACTGTGGCGTTTCTCAAAGCACGCTCTTCATAGATTGTAGATGTGCATCCAGTGATTTATGGACTGGAGGTTATGAGACTTAATGTGATGTGGTTTTGCTGCCAATGGAAGGTTTGCAGAAGACCTTTGTTTTTACAGTGTCCCTGCTTTTATTGTCTTTGGTGGCAAAGATGTAATGGCTGTCTTTGGAACTTACTTAGATATATAGACACCAGACACATACACACACACACATATATATATATATATATATATATATATATACACACACACACTAAAATGCATAATTTTGACTCATCTAATCTGAACAGGACTTCTTATTGCTATTTTTGCCTCTGCTCTACAAAAGGCCAGACTTCTGGAAAGCACAACATGCTGTTTGTGAGAAACAACTGACACACCCTCTCCTGGTCCAACGTTTAAGTTGACAATGCATTGATTATTTGCAATACATTTTGGTTTTAACATAGTGCCATGATAAATATAAAGACTGGATAAATTATTTTGTAACCCAACTCTTCCTCAAACTTTCTATCGTCCCTCGCTGCTGTGCTTCTTGGTGCTTATGATGCTAAGGATCTATAACAAACCTTCATAGTCTCAATAACACAGATGTGTTCATAGTTAAGATAATTAACAACAGATGGTTAATTTTCTTTTTTAAAAAGGTGACTTTTGAATTCTATTTTTTTCCACTTTATTTTAAGTTATCAGAAAAAAGAATATAAAATTTGCACATTTTTCATAGTTTTTAAATGTGAAAACCATGCGTCAAATTCTTTCTACTCCCCTATTATTCACTCATTTTTAGGTTGTTTTTTTTTTTTTCCCATAAAATCCAAATAAAATACACTGACGTTTTAAGTCGTAACACAGTAAAGCTTATAAAAGCTCACGGGAAATAAACACTTCCACATAGCCTAATCTGTTGCCATTTCTCTTTGGGAAAGACTGTTATTCTTAGCCAAGGTCTCTATTCTGCATTGACAAGCTTGATCTCTCATTCAAGTGCTTGATGGATTAATTAGTCAGCCTGAAGTGGTTTAGCAAACAATCAGCCTTTTCCTCTGAAAACCGACTGGACTGGAGAAAAGACAGACTGAGGCACACTGACTGAGACAGATATTTGCGAAAGCAATGAATTTTGGTTCGATTCCCACAATGAACACGGCCAATAGGAAATAACCCTCCCAGTTTTAAGAAAGGAGGTGGGGTGCAAGGGATTCAAACTAAGGCAGGCTTTAAAGTGACTCAAACCCTCCCAAAGACTGAGTGCAGACAGTCTCCACAGCACTAAGAAGTTGGCTTACTGTGACTGAACTGCAGCTTTTCTTGTCAGCCTAAAAGGAAAAACAGGAGAAAACCTTTAGACTTCCTGAAGACAGGCAGATAAGGTGCTGCACACCCAGGACAATGGGAAACTGAGCAGGCTCAGCACTTTCTACTGTATTTATTGTGAAGGAAAGAGGAGCAAGGACAAACTGGAGGATACTAGAGATTACATTGCCATGGAAACCAAAAGCTGGAAGCGGACACGAGGACCACTGAAGGTGGATGAGCTCCCTTGAATGCATCTTCACGTCGTTGTCCTGCTGCACACTGTGGTTAGAGGTAAATGGATCATGTGTCGTGCTTGAATATGGAGAACACATCTGTAAATGTTGAGGTTAGGGGGAGGATGTATGCAACCGAGCAAGCTGAAATTCTCCCTGCCCTGCCAAAAATCATTTGCATAGTCCGTGGCGGTAAACATCTCCGACTTCAAATCGATGCGAATTTGTAAAACGCAAAATCGATAGGGCTTTTTGATTGATTATGTCACTCCGATTTAACATTCGTATGAGGTGGCAACATTTTAATTATAAGCTATTTTACAGAGCGTAAGAGGATATAGCTACATCATACCTTACAGTTTAACTGGGGGGGAGAAAAAAAAAAAAAGGGCTCTTCTCTGAACTCTGCTTTGACAATTCCCACGTGAATATGAGACCGAGTGACTCACTGAGCCTCCTGGTGACTAAGCACAGAACCATGTAAATGGAACAGCACACATTCTGCAGTTATTCCATATTTCAGGCTCGACTCCCACCAGGGCCACTCAGTGTAAAGAAAAGAGAGAGAGAGAAAAAAAAAGGCACACCTCTAAGGTGTCCGTTGGATAAAAGTGTCAACTAAATAACTGTAATTAGTGGCTGGAGGTTGCAGATAATTAGTGTTATGAGTAAGAGAATTAGAGAGTGATGACAGTAAGTTGTACTGTGTCTCTTGAAGAGATTAAAAGTATTTTCCAATGAGCAGAAAAGAAGAGAAAGAGACATAATGATGAACATAGCACATTTGTGTTTTGCTTCATAACCCCCCCGCCTCTGGTCTTTATCTCTTTGCTCGTTCGAACAGGTGTATATTTACAGTTTGTCTGGGTCCATGTTGAATCGTGCGTGTGTGTGCTAACACGCATCCAAGCGAGTGTGTGAGCATGTTTTTGGGCGAACGCGTGTGTTCCTACGGCATGCGTGTGGTGAATGGTGGGGAGTTTGCTTTCTGATCCTGCTTACAGCTCCGGCGACTGCACCACCTCGTACAACTTGCTCTGATGTCAAAGAGGATTTAGCGTACAGACACGCTGCTGTTTCTTTAGTGACAGAAAGCTTCTTCTCCCCCCGCTCCCTCCTGAGTCAGTTTTAAATGGACGTTTGCCAGAGATACCTGGAGAAGATATGAAACGTGTGCTTTGAATGTCAAGAGGCTCCTTCAAAAGAAAAGCTAAGGCAAATGATTTAGATTATAGAGAAAATCTAATGTAATCTACTTGTGGTAACATTTACAGCGTGAAGCAAATATGGTTCTGAAGAGCTAGTATAAACACTGGCATGCAGAGGCTTGTCGGCTCACTACGCTCTGCTAAGTCATGCCTTAAGGGCAAGCATAAGAAATTTATTTCAAATTCTCTTTGGGATTTTAAAATAGAGAGAGCACAATTTATGGATGAATAAATTGTGTTCTCTGGCATGACTTATTTTATATGCGGAGTGTTCTTGAGGACTCTTAAACATTTTTTTTTTTTTTAACGTTAGAATCACAAAACGGGAAACAATTAAAAATAATTAAACATTAAAGGACATAATTTTACAACTGTGTTCTAGCTTGCGGCTAATTTTCGTCTTCCGCTTTTGTTCCCGTCTCAGAAGTCGGAGCTCCAACTTTGGAACAACATCGGACCCAATCTGAGGGCGTCTTTCTTGCTAACAGAGCAGATCAGTCTTTATTGTCATCGCAATGGCAATAAAGATGAGAGCCACTGGGTGCTCTCATCGAGTAGTTAGTAATGGAAACTTTCAATACATTGTTTTTGCATAGGAGCGATGATGGTCACTGAACTCTCATCAGGTCTGCGAGCTCTTCTCACTTTCGAAAAAAAGGAGAAAATTTGACTTCACTGAGTATTGTTGTTGCTTTCCCGGCTGGGAAGTCAGAAGATTTGGCTTTCTAGTACATAATGTATAGTTTTATTTATTTCTGTCTCAATTACAAAAAAACAAAACAAAAAAAAAAACAATATGGAAGACAAACAGGGCACTTAAAGCAAATAATTGGCAGTGATAACATTACTTTTTAGGAATCAGTGTAACGACGTCCACTCAAGACAAAAGTTGTGAAGGCAAAGCGTACAGGACCAATTTGAGCTCAGAAATTAAACATTAATGACATGAGTTATCCAATGAGGGGGAAGAAGTTGGAACAAGATTGATCTGAGTGTAGGATTTTGTAAGACTAATAAACCCACAACTTACTGGGGGATTTAAATGTTCTCTATGGCAAGTTCAATCTACTTGTAGTTCACCCAAAAGGAAAGTGAATGCTTATGAAAAAATAAATTCAATATACAAAATTTCTTTAGTTTGACCACTACCATTACTCTGTTTATGGGTGTCAAGATCATCATTTTCTTATGCTACTTTTATCAGAATGATCTATGTAATAGAGCAACACAATGTTAATGCAAGTCTCACTTTTCTCCACATAATCAGTTGTGATTTACGTACTTGTGGGGGTTTAACTTCGTTACAGCATATTCAACGTTTTCTTGGTGAAAAAGTTTTTTTTTTTTTTTTTTTTTTAATCAGGATAATAATCCATTCTATTGCTACAGTGAGAGACGTATTAGACAGTGCAGCTATAAATGCCACCCAGAAATATTAGTGGCTTCCTCTTTTAGTGGGCGCGACTCAAGCTCAATTTCAGAAAAGTGCTTTTTAAATTTCATTATCAATTTTGAAAACCAAAGAACAATTGTGACTAACACCCATTTCATTATTTGATCAATTACTTTTTTTTTTTTTACTGACTCTTAAACAATAAACTGCCGTTTATAGTTGAAGAGCAAACATCTTTAACTATGGGAATACCTGTACTATCATGTTATCTCCAATTGCCTTCACTCGCCAGTAAAAATATTTAATATCGCTGAGAGAGAGCAGCCAGCTTTTATACTTGCCACTACTTAATTTCGTAAGCATTAGATCAGGGTTGAGAGTCATTATCAAGATGGATTGTGATGACAAATGGCATCCCTGAGTGCCTAAAGCGGCCTTCTGGCAATGTTGGAATTAGACACATTTACATTGCAAAGCCCCCCTAAAGAGCCTCCAACCACCAGCTGTCAAGGAGCCAACAGCCAAGTGTAGTTTGAGAAAATACAATCTGCAAACACAGATAATGACATGGTTCCTTTTTGTGTAATTGGTTCAGGGTGAAAACATTTCATTTACCTCTCTATACCGTTCCCCTACATCCCATCCCACCCCCCACCCCCTGCCCCCCTTCTATATTGTACATCCTGTGTATCTGTTTTAGTCTGTGTGAGACAGCAAGCATGTGGTTTAGGCACTGGTGTGTGTGGACCTTTGTGCATGTGCATGTGTGGCTAGCCGTGAGTGATTGAGGCTTGTGCTGCACGGTGAATTAAATGCAGTTCTACTGTAATTAACTGCACTTACCAGTCTCTGTGTGAGACTTTCTGACGCACCAGTAATTGAGGCATCATGTTTTGTTTGTTTTAACCTGCCTTTGAAGAAATGCTGGGAAGACGTTGCACATGGTTTAAAGGAAATACATCTGTGTGTACAAATTTGAAAGACTTTGAAAAGCGTCTCTTTATTCTGTGATGCAGTACTCCAATATTTAGAATAGTCATACATCCAAGGGCCGAGCTGGAAACTGCAGTCGATGATTAGAAAAGAGAACCCATTGTTTTCCAGACATAAACCTCCACTATGGCATTATCATGCCATTCTAAAAAAATAAAACACAGCGCGTTCCCACTCACGATAATGGATGTTTTCAAAGAAGGTTTGTGTGGGGCTCAGCAGCCTCTCTGGTATTTGTAATTTCATTAGAGGCTTGAATTTTGGAACCAGGGTCTTCCACAGTTCAGTGAAGCAAATCCAAAGAATTTGTGGTTCTGGTAAAACATAAAGCTGTGTTTGTGCACAATATTAGTATTTAGTGTACGGAAAAGGTCCAGCTCAGTTTTGTCTGAAGATTAACACTGGAAACCACAGTCTCCTTCTGTCTCGATGGCTGCGCCGCGATTAGTGTCAAGGTGAAACGAAAAAGGCAGACCGGTTATTTAAATGTGGGTCTTTTGAATGTCCACAGAGCCCAAGAGATGTTGGTTTTATTTCCCAGAGGATTATCTATCTCAAGCCCGCCTCATCATCTCATCCCTCTGCGCTCTACCCCCCCAAACCACTAAGCATCCCTCCTCCACCTCAGGGCTCCCCCAAAGCCTCTGAATCCCAACCCAAAAAAACCTCAGGTTGTTTTCCCACAGAAACTGATGAGGAAAGGTTGCCAGGGACTGTTTTGTTCAGGATGAGTTTGGGGTGGAAAGGAACCTGAGCTGCCAGCTGGACGGTTCATCAGTCATGCTCCTTATACAGAGGTACATCTCAAAACATTGAGGCATTGCATAAAAGTCCAATATTTCTTGACGGTCATCTCACAAAGTGAAACTCACATATTGTGTAGAATCATTACTATTCTAAGCCTTTTCTCTTACAGATAATGAAAACCCAAAATTCAGTGTTTCAGAAAATCAGAATGCTATGAAAACGATAATTACTTGAGACTTATTGTGTCAAACCATTACTTTTCACTTTTTCATCTCTCATCCTGGGTCAGTAGGCTACACAAACATGGGGAATACTGCTGATTTGACAGATATCCAGAAGACAGACATAAACACCGTTCACAAGAAGGCAAAGCCATGGAAGGTCATTACCGAAGAAGCAAGTTGTTCACAAAGTTCTGTATCAGAAAATTGAGTGGAAGGGAGAAAGTGTGGCAGGAAAGGGTCCACCAGCAACAAGTACAGCCTTGAGAGGATTGTCAAGGGCAACAGCTGTCGCATTCTCTGTGTCAAGCTCTTCCTAAACCAGACAACGTAAGAGGCGTCTTTCCTGGGCTTAGGAGAAAAGCAACATTGTTTCCCAATGGTCCAGAATCCTTTTTCCAAGTGAAAGTAAATTCCACATTTAATTTTGAACTCAAGATCTCAGAGTCTGGAGGGGAAGTGGAAAGGCACAGATGCCATGTTGCTTGAAGTCCAGTGTGAAGTTTCTACAGTCAGACAAGTCGCATGGAGATGCTGATTTTATTTTCAATCAGAACCTGCCAACTGCCCAAGGTACCAAAAGCTGGTTCAATGACTGTGACCCAACCCATCACGATCGCCTCCTTGCCATGATGCATTGATGCAGTAAGTAATGCAAGAGGAGGCCCAACCAAGTTTTTACTGCATATAAATTTACATCTTAGAAGCCTGACATTTGTGCTTAAAACACACAATTTCCGATTGGTCTAATGCGATCTAACTCTCTGAGACAGGAACTTCTTTACCCGAAAGCCGTGATAATATTTAAAATTGAATAAATTCAAACATTGAACAGTTTTACACTGTGTGTAATAACTCCCTTTAAAATGACTTTCACTTTCTCAGATGACTGGTAAGAAATATTGTACTTTAATGCAATATTTAAATTCTTTGAGATGCACTCGTTGAGAATCCCGTCAGTCTTCAGTCTTTGCTGACATAGACTTTGGATAATCTCCAAGTTGCAGGGCATCTCTAAGAGTACAGGAAAGAGTGAAAACTGAGTGAATGCAGATGCTGATCCCCAGGCAAGGGGTTCCTGCATTTAAAATGGCTGTCATCAGTGAAGAGGCTGATGGAGCTTTTGCTAAATGAGACTTCTACATGGAAGATAGATCACTGCGGGAAAAACGGAGGTCAGACTCCTGGATGCGGTAGGCGATGAAAGTAGCCAACGGGAGTCTTCCTCTCCAATTATTTGAACCTCTTGACTCGTGTGTGTGTGTGTGTGTGTGTGTGTGTGTGTGTGTGTGATGGTGTGGCATCCTAAGAAAAAAGAAAAAAAAAGATCAGACTGCGTGAAACATCTCTACAAGATGAGCAAACAGCTGCTGTCTAGCTTATGGAAACACTGCTGCAATTAGTCAAAGAGCACGGGAAAAAAATATAAACACAAAAGCCTTAAAAACAAAGTGGATTGTGATAAAGTAATTTGTTCCATGTCAGACTGAGGTGCAGGTCCAAGAAAGGAAGAAAGGCGAGCGTACAAATTTACACAGCAAAGAAGAGTGTGCGAGTAGCAGCGGCCGCCAATGTCCTTGAGGCAGTTTGGTTTCACATCAGAAATTCTGACTTGATGTCATGCAATGCTTGTCAAGAGCAACATCTGCTGAAAAGATGCTTGAGTGATGGTCAAAAATGTGCTGGCACAAATACTGACAGTGCGCGCACTCAGGCGGATACTCCATCCTGAATGGCAGAGAGATCATTTCTCCAGATCTGGCCCTAGTATCATACATTATGGCATTTATGGACACCGTGGGTCACTCTCAGTTCAGGTTTCTCCACAGTATATCACCACAGAGTAAGAAGAAGAAGAAAAAAAAGTCCACTCCCATTGGGGAACTGTACAATTCCTCAACTCTTCCCCTAATAACATGCAGATGGGCTTCTCTAATGCTTGTTTACATATCTGCGGCATAGTTCATGAGTAAAGTAAGCAAAGACCTAATTATTTTACTCAGCAACGGGACCAATAAAATCAACTTCCCCTTCTCGTTATGGGTGTTTAAGTGTATCCTTTGATGGTCGGGTTTTGTTTATTTTTGTAAGAGTTGCAGAGCCGAGAGGAAAGCAAATAGAAGTAATGACACAGAGATGCTGACAAATGGGGGCCCTGGTGATGGATTCATTTTCTGAATGATGCCTGCAGGGTCGGACTGCAAAAAGGTGGTTCACCTTTAATAGGCCTGGCACACTTGCAGACATGTTTGGAATTGCGCGACTGCTTTACCTCATTCTGCTGAAAAAAAAACTGTAACCCCCAGCTTATATTAAATGAAGTTTATCTTCATTTAATATACAACCAAAAATGATTAGTCCATTAGAAGATAATGGTAAATGGACAAAACCTTTATGACACTTTTATGGTCACATGGATCACTCGGAGTGATCAACAAAAGAGCCGCGTTTACGCAGCCACATTTAAACGTGTGTACGCATTCACACCCAAATGCTCAGTGCAGCAAGTCTCTGATCGGGTCAGAGACTTGTACATGGGCACATCATGTTGAGGGGGATCGGTGTGGGAATAAACCCACTGATTGTGGACAACATCGTAACACAACCCCAGTCTAAAAACATCAGCTGTTAATGCGCTGTCACCGCTTCGTGAACCAGTATCTGTCATCTCTTTTCATTGGCCAATTACTTACACAGGAAGTGAATGTTGGAGATGAGGCTCCACCGATGATCTCAAGTGAAGCTTGTACCAAAAGAGCTTATGTGCCTAAAAGAAAAGTACAAACATTTAAAAGTTCATTAAAAAGAAGCTTTAAACTTAAAATAGTATTTTGTGATTGTTTCTTTGAAAAGAAAGGTTAAATTTCACACTGGAAGATCATTATGTCCTAAGCTCAGTTTCCAGTTTAAAAAAACTGGAAACTGAGCTTAGGACTGAATTAAACTGAATTAAAAAAAACAAAAAAAACAAACAAAAACAAACAAAAATTTGCGTAATGCTAACATAACGATTTAAAGTTGATAAAATATACAAACTCCTATGAGATTGTTGAGATTTGGAGTCGTTTTAGGCCGGCAGAAGTCCATTTGGGTCTTATTCCGCTCTTCAGGTGATATCCAGATTCCTTTGTGAATCCTGGTTACTCTGAGCCGTTCACTGCATTGAACTGATGTACTTTCATTCAATTAGATCAGAGTTGTTTGACCCCTAAAAAAACAGTTCATCTCATTTCATCTTCTGCTCCTTCTTGGGCTCGAGGTTTTATGTGCGGTACCATTTGCACCGCACATAAATTTGCCTCGTATACTTGACCGCAACCTCACATGATGACTCAGATTAATGAAAGCCTTTAGACTCGATTGTGAAAAGTGATTCAGCAGGAAATGTGAAATATTAACCTGGATGACTCAGGAACCAAATAGCATTGATCTTGGACTTGTTATATTCCACATCCAGAACCGACTAATCCTAAAAGAGAAACTCTTGCCTTACATTTCATTGTACTTTTTTTCTTGCAGAATGCTGTGGAGAATCACCATCCCCATCCTCCTTGCTGGGTTCTTCTGCGTCATTGCAGAGACCAAAAAGCTCCGGCCCCAAGGCTCAATACCATCCCCACACAAGGCCAAAGGAAACCTGTCTGCAGATCACCCCCACAGACTTTTGCAGCAGAAACCCGAAGTCCTGTCCTCAAGCCGAGAGGCCCTAGTTGTGACTGAGCGGCGTTACCTCCGAAGAGACTGGTGCAAGACCCAACCCCTTCGCCAAACGATCAGTGAGGAGGGTTGCCGCAGCCGCACCGTGGTCAACCGCTTCTGCTACGGCCAGTGCAACTCCTTCTACATCCCGCGGCATCTGGGTCCCAGCTCGAGTCATGGACACAGTCGAGGTCAAACTTCAGGGTCGGGAAGGAAGGGCCACAATAAAGCCCAGGAGCCCTTTCAGTCCTGCTCCTTCTGCAGGCCGCACCGCATCACACAGCTCACAGTGCAGTTAGACTGCCCAGATCTGCAGCCCCCCTTCAGACACCGCAAGGTGCAGAGAGTCAAACAGTGTCGATGCATGTCTGTGGATGTGACCGGTCATGGAAAACTGTGAAGGACTACCTTAAGAGATTTTTGTTGTTCCATTACTTGCCAGAGTCAGGGGTGAGGAACATTGTGAAGTCATACTAAAAAAAGAGGCTTGTCCAGCAAAAACTGAACGTAGAAAACGTGTGATAAAGGCAACATCGAACTAACCAGAGATTTGCGGCCAAGATGACTCATCACTTTAGAAATCATTTTTGTCCAAGTCAAAGTTGGTATACAGCCATCTGGGTGGAACAATGGAGATGTTTTCTCTCCCAGGTGTAACAAATTTTATACTTTGAAGGGATACACGTCTAATGGACACAGGGTGATCATGCTGACGGTTGTATTTTAAAAATTGTATTTTCTGAGCAGTGCAACTAGCTTGTTTCTTTGATATGAACTGTTTCATTGCAAATGAACTGACACTTACCGTGCCAGTTTTTGCCTTGTGTGCAGTCATACCATTACGTTTCGTCATCTTGATTGAACTGAAGCTGCAATGAGTTGATACAGAGAAACTTCGAGCGCCACGACGGTGGCTTCAACTCGTTCGGACTCGAAATTTGGCTGCAAGTTGAGCATAAGATCCTGCAGCTTGTGTAATGGTTGTGCAATGAAATGTATACGGTATGGTACATGTATGTGTGTAAGTATATTTCTTTAAAATATATTAAATCTATTTCATATAAAACAACTCCCTTTAGAGTGCATGCACTTGTGTATCAAAAGAGGACAATGTTAAAAAACCAAGCGGTTTCAATGCAAATTTATATATTTGGTTTTATTCAATAAATATTACTTTTTATGTTCAATGTTATTTAAAAACAGTATTGGTATTGTTCATGTAAAAATGAAATCTGATCAGGATTCAATTGCATGTCTAAATGTAAAGGGATTCACACTGTCACACAGCTAGAAAGATGAATTACATGCATAGGATTGTGTTTAAAATAAAGTATATTAATAAAGAAATGCTGTTTAAGTGGAAAAAAACCCCCATAGAAATCATCAAATCACACCATGTGGATATGTGGGTTTAAGTAACAAAAGGTAGTAGAGGAGGTGCTGCTTCGAAAACGTTTAAGCCATCAGACATTTCTGACACTCGTGTGAAATTGACATAATCCAAACCATTTTAACCCATGTAAAATTGATTATTCTCTTTATCAGGCATGTTATTTACATGAGAGTTTTGGTAAAATAAGACCTGTTTGGCATTGTTCATTTGCTACCTCTACCCTTCCATAAGGCACCATGTTCCCATATAAAAAAAATCTAAGATGTGCTTTTCACCAGAACGAAAAAGGAAATGTTTTCGGAACAAATATACGATGGGCACCTTGCACACAAAAAGTTGAAACACAATTATATCAAAGTTTTTAAAAAATAGATGCATTTTAGAGACAAATAACATATTCCTGCTAAAATGACTTAAGATTTTTTGATTGGTTGCAGATTAACCTTTCGTATTAAGTCCACTTAAATTCAAGAACCGACCAAGTAATTAAAACAAATCATTTTTAACATCCTCCATGGTAGATTGTGCTTAGCGGTGCTCATCCATTTTCTGCCTCATATCTTCTTACCCAGCTTTGCTTTCTGTGAAATACAAAAAAATAGATGGGAGTTATTTACACCCAATAACCTTCACATTTCATATGCAGACAGGCATTTTTAAACAGCATCGTCTTCTCGAGTGAGAAAGAGCAAAAAGGTGGGGAAAAAAAAAAAAAAAAGAATATGGCGTACTATTCCAGTTGCGTTTTTGGTCGTCACGTTATAGGTGGCCTTCTGCCTGGCTTGTTTGAAGCTCTCCTCAGCCTTTTTCACCCTGAAAGAGACCAGCAGTGGTGACTGATTCAAGGAAACGTCAAGGGCAAATAATTACGAGGACACGGCTTCACAAAACTGATTATTTTTAGACAATTCAGCCTGTAGTCGTGTGGGATTTTGAGGAATAAATGTGGTTTGTCAAGACGTCAACCCTCGTCTGTTTTGATTTACTGTTTATTGCAGCCTGGAGTGAGAATATCACTCGCCCATGTTGGCGTCGAGAAAGTACAGCAAGTTACGGGCAACACAGTTTTACCATCAGATGCCTAGTCTTTACTTCAGTATGTACCAGGACTACAAAACAACGCAGCACAGGCACAGGTAAGTGTTGGTTATTCTTTGGGGATGTGAAAAGGAAACAGAGAATAAGAACTGGGATGATTGCCTGTAGCAAAGAGCAAAAAGTTAATGCTTTCAAATTCTTTTTTTTATCCTTTCCTTCTGAACAAGCCGCCCCCCCCCCCCACTACCAGTGTTATCCAACTCCTTTTTCAAATATGTTATCACAATTCAATCTTTATTGAAAATAATGGACCAATTTACTGTTTGTTAGCATAAGCAACGACATCTTTATAACCATCAAACCACTGGAGGCTTACTGGAAGGTGCGTGAGTGCATTTGGTTTTGGAGCGACGACAACGATGTGGATCATTTACGCTCTTTTCTCCTCATGAATTTGAATGAATCTGATACAATCTCCAGTCAGCACGAGATGGACTGCAAGTTATTAATGCCATAACTGAAGTCGGGGAGAGTAACCAAAGTGCAACAAATTTTGAATCTCTAATGATGGTCCAAGGTCAACAAGAATTAATCATTGTCACGAGGTTTGTATTTGCTTGAATGGAAAAAGAATAGACATCTCTGAAGTGTCACGGAAAATAAGTTCTATCACTTAACATGCATATCCAGTGATTGTGATGATAAATTATGTAAAAAAAAAATGTGAAGCATATTTTATGGCCTCATCTGACCAAACATTTGTGGTGTACCTTGCATGGATTGTTTGTATGAGAACTTAGTAGGGGTTTCAGAGCAAAGGGCGCTTAAAACAAAACTTCACCACACTTCTATTTGTAAAAAAAGTATTTTAAACATCTGCCTCTAAAGCATGTCCTACTTTGTGTCTATCACACAAAATACAAATACATAAAAAAAGTCCAATGTCAACAAAATATGAAAATGTTTAATGAGTAGGAATACTTTTGCAAGACACTTGTTTTAGTTAAAAATGTCCCGTTGTAAAATGTTCTCACCGTTCCTGTAATAACAGCTTATTCTGCTTCTTCCAATGTTCCTTAAAATCTGAAGAAAACTCATGCCAAACGGAGAAGAATGTGTTGGGCGATACTTCTTTCTCTCCCGCCTTGGGCTTTACCGAGAACGACACACTCAACTCCAAAAAACTGAGGACAAAAGAGCAAAAAAATCACTTCAAGGCCAAACTATTACAACAGCAGATTACAGAAACTTGTACTTAGTCTTGTGAAATCTGGCAGAACAGCAGAAACATGCAAGGCATAAAAGTTGATCTTGGCATAATGCGGTTTAGTAGACATTTGATAGTGGAATGAGGAGAAGGAGAAGACTGACTGTGGATTTCGGACTTGGAAAGCCAATTTATGCCAACGCTGTCATGTCAGAAACAGTGTCCAACCATGACCGAAACAGAACTCGTTACAGAATGTACTTGCCTTCTGCCCCATTAGCTTTCTACATCCACACCCTGCTAATGCTCTAACTGGAAGAGTGAAAGTGTATGACTAGGAGGAAAAGACACATCCACCAAAAGATAACATGTATATACAAGTGGATGACACATGTTCAAGTGTTAAATGTGGCAGCCATTTGCAGTGGATCAATATAACAGACAGGTTGGCCTGGCTTTGTTTGGAGTGTGCTATAGGAACGCATTCCTAGCCAGCAGAAACAGAAGCCTGGAGCCACGGCTGTCTATTCCTGCTCCACTTAGATAAACAACGCAGACAACGCATAGGGGGCCTCGAGTCTGCTGAAGGCCTGGCAGGATGGCCTGTGCCGTCCAAGCAGGAAGCATAAACATCGACAAAGCAGAAAGCTTATAGATCTCTAAAGATTTTTTTAAAATTGCATTTACAGTTGGGTTGAATTACCACTTAGTTCAGTTAATTGCAGGAATGACAAAATGTTCAACAGTTGACAAAGCACCAAATGTAAACCGGTTAAATAATAATAATAATAATTAACAAAAAGCTACCCTTCTTTATGATTGCCATGGGAAAATGTTGAAGAAAATGAATCTTACATCTTCTGAGTGTCTGCTAGCTGCTTTTCCTGTGTTTCCAGTTCAGTCTTGGCTGTAGAGTATAAAACAAGTATGTTAAATCACTCGGGTCTAAACATTAACACAAATCTTCCGTTTACGATTCAATGTGCACATTAAAAAAAAAAAAAAAAAAAAAAAAAAAAAATCAAGATGTCAGGATTCAGTTTAGCTGTCACTTTCAGGTTCAAGTGGTGTGCCACCAGATTAAGTGCAAGAATGTCATGACTGTTGCACAACTGATGAATGGCAGATGGGAGAACAAGAGACTCTTTGTCGAGTGTTGCTTCAAATGGAGACAGGTGACTGCATGTACATACCAGAGAATGTTGCACATAATGATAAAACAGCAGCAGCTACGCGCAAAAAAATACCACATTACAAGCCCAGGTCAGTAAACAGAAAATGTTACATTCATATGTTTAAAAGAAGTGCTCCTTAAACTGTGAGATGCTTAAATGGCATCCATGTGGGCCGCAGTGTTTTTACCATGTTATGCGATATATAAATATAGGGTCCGCCATTATGGAGGACACATTTGAAAATTCAATGTTGAAGAAAATGTATAGCCATGTGTTTGACTAATAGTTAAATATCTCATTAATGGAAATCTAAGGGTCCGGATTTTTATAATCCTGGCAGCTAGTTATTTGTGATGTATTAAAAAAAAAAGAAAAGTTTTTGGTCCTGAACTAAGGGCCCATCTCAACAATCATCCTGGGGCCAGGCCTGGGAAAGAGACTCGCTGGAAAGCATGTGGTCAGACAGTTCATAAACCAAACAAACTGCATGGGACCACCCTCCCGTAGACACAACATCTGAAGGAGGTGTTGCAAGGATTTGTGGCTTTGTGGATTCACCAAGGGGGGCTAGAATCTGTCTGCACCAAGTTGGCTTGCTTGAAACACTCAAGCTTTGAGATTCCCATATTTTCATAGATGATGGCCTTTCATGTTTAAGTTGGCAGAGGTGTCCTTTGTGTCTTCCAGTGGTCTTGTAGCCAAGCGTCTCCATTGC